TAGCAAATTGTACAATTTCACACATTCTATTGAAAAACACTGTAAGTAAATCAATACACATTTTTACTTATACATGTATTAGGGCCATCTTGAATTATGGGATTCCAAGAAGCAAACCTACTGTAGAAAATTRATAAAGCATAGAGTGGCAGRGTTACGTTTTTAAATAATTTGAAGTCTTGGAATTTCAAATATTGTTCCAACTATCARCAAATTCAAWTGGTTTTTAGATGTGCTTCTCATTGAAAAGCGTAACATTATATACATGTTAAAARACATCCTGACAGCTGTGCTTTCTATAAATTTTCCAATATTTGCCCCCTCCGCATCCCATAATGTCTTGATGAAAACAATTAAGGGAAGCACGGGTGGCGTACACTGTTAATGTGCTTCCCCTCACCACTGCAACCTGAGTTCGAGTCCTGCCGATGTTGATGTTGTATGTGAGTAGAGCTGTTTATTGGTTCTTTCCTGTGCTTYGAGGGTTTTTCTCCGGGTTCTCCGGTTTTCCTCCCTCCTCAAAAATCAACTACTAAATTCTAATTCGATCTTTGGGTTTTCACCTTGTTGGAGCCTAGCTATGTTGTAATTGTCCCACGCTGTGATACAACAGCTAAAACATTTCAAATGGATTTGAAAATTTAGATTTAAATTATAGAATTCAAGATGGCCACAATATTGGTAAAAAGGTCTTATTGCTAAATAAATATAATCGATGTGTAATCTTTTGGTATTTTCAGAGTTATAATGCAGGATTAAACTTTTCAAGTGAGAATGAAGCAAGRTATTTCCAGTGTCAAATTGAAAGCAAGCTGAAAGCGAAACAGCAAAGAAGACAAGGTTTGTCAATCTACGTAATGTAAAGTAAAAAAAATCTCTTTGAATTAGAAAAAAATATTTAGTGAATTGCAACATATGTCACATTGTTCTCAAAAAATACAGATTATTACACATTTAGGTTCAATACATGTGTGACACGCAGTGAATATAAAAGCCATTTATTACCTATTTAGGGTTGATATCAGTGTGATAAAGCYGTGAACAAAAACCATGTCATTGAAGTGATAGGATATCACTTCACGGTAAACTGGAAACTGTAAATTTTGTCATTTTATCAACCCTAAATGTGTAATAAACAAACCATCACCTGTTAAGAGCCTGATATTATGGACTCGATTGTTCATATGACATGGAAACTCGTGAATATAAAAACAATATCAAGCTCTTGACATGTGATAATCTTTATATATTCAACTGGCAGTGAAGTTATGCGATATCACTTCACACCAATATTGAACCTAAATATTAAGTGTAACAAGCTTGATTATCACTTGAATAAGAAACAAGAAAGTTTAGAGACTTAAATTTTGCTGAATTTTGTTACTTAAATTTCTTTCCAACAGTGCGGAGAAATCAAACTAAGCACAGACCCCCACCACCAGCAGTTGGAGGCAGTGTAGAACCCGAAAGCAGAACAGGTATTTTTTTATTCTTTCATTATTATTTTTATTTAATCATTACTTGTTACAGTACATATAGATGTAACAACGCAATGTCTTACACAACTGATATATCATACAATGTTTATTTTAATATATCAGTAGCATATGATGTAAAGTTTACATTTGAACCTATACATTTATGATCAAGTGGATACCATTGTTCCATTTTTTTAAACATTTCTTTGTCAATAACTTCTTGATATTTTATTGCCATGCAGCCCAAAGATCAGCTGAGGGACTTTTAACTTACATGACTTGCACTTAGAATTAATTGCTTCGTCTCTTTTCTTCAATACTGAGTGTAAGACTGGCAAATATTTTGATCACAAAATACAAAGAAATGTATGGAGGGATGATTACGGTTGAGTAGATGACATCACAGATTCAGTTAAAAAAATTCACAAAAATATAATACTTCCCATCGAAATATATTAAGAACAAACTTTAACCGGTGATTATTAGTAAGACCTTTAAGGATTATTTCTGCAGTAAAATTTTAGCTTGGGAATTAAAATTTAGACAATTTTTGTACAACGTACTAGTCTACCTTTTAACAAAAGCTATCATCATCATCATYATCATTTTTCCCCTTTTCGGAGTACCAGCATCCTTGGGGAGCTTCTGTCTGTAAGGGCTGATTTGTCCATCATAGTCCTCCTGATTTGAATACTGAATACAATCAGTGTGACTGGTGCAGGATGTTGACCTGTGGCTTGATTGGGCCATGGTAACCTACTTWCTAGCCTTTGCTAGCCTGATTGCCTAATGAATAGCACCTACCCTCCGCTTATCAACAAGTTATTTTTGTTTTTGTTTTCTTTGCTCATTAGATGGTGGTGGAATGGTGCATTCACCTTCTCAAACCAGCCTGACATCAATTGGTAGTAATACATCAGCAAGGAAAAAGAGCACAAAGGAAAAGAAAGACAAGAATAAAAAGGGAAAAGGCAGGGTCAGGTTGTCCAAGGAGGACATTGGAACTCCAGAAAATTTTCAGTAAGTGTAAGGGAACCAAGGGCAATGCAGCAGTAGTCCACTTTCCTCTAGCCTTTGGGGATTTGGATTTGAATCCCGGATGTATCATCATATGAAATGCAAGCTGAGTTATTGGAGTTGTTTATCTTTTGATTCAAGGGTCTGGGTTCTCTAAAAGTTTCCTCTGTCTGAAAATCCAAATGCTATATTTATAATTTTCTTATAACTGACTTTTGAGTAGGAAGTCGCTAAAAGGTTCGCACAAGAAATATTTTCAACCCTAAATGGACTGTGCAGATCATCCCTACAGCTTGGACAAAGGAAGTCACCCCCCCCCCCCTCCCCGAGATCTACAGATGAGCTCTCGTTTTACATAATAGGTTCATATCTGAGATGCACAGTTATCTTAAAGATATATTCAGRTGCTCTACAATATGCATTATAACATTGTGGGATTAATAATGCAAGCCATATATTTCAAGATGAAAGAAACGGCAATAAAGCTTGTTTTTGACAAAACTGTTAACTCGTTTATTTTACATACAGGCATGTTGGTCATATTGGATGGGATCCTCAAGGCGGCTTTGATGTGAGTCTTGTCTAACTCTCTCATATTCAAACAGTTAACCATTATCTTTAATTCAGGGGCCACCAATAGATTATAAATGACTTGGAAGTATTATCCATATTAGATTATTATACTTCAGCACTTTATTAATTACAATATTTTCACCCTTTAATATACACCTATTTCAAAAAAACGTTTTCAGTTGGATATCTGAAATCAGAAGTCTGAGACCTATTGGAATTGTGGGGGACTGAKTGTTTTCTCGTTAAAAATTTAATATACACTTACCCAGATAGTTTGCCCGTGCAGGTCATTGCTCAAAATTAGTATATCAAGATATTAACTTTTTGCGAACTACTTATTAAGACCACAAACAATTAACAGCTTACAACCCACAGTTCCTTTCGGTCTATAGGAGTATATGGGTGTATATGGGTGTGGATACTTCTAAATTTATATTTATATTTCTTATTGGATGTATTGTGCTTTTGTTTAGGTCAACAATGTTGCCATGGATGACAACTGGAAGAAGCTTTTCACCATGATAGGTGTGACCGAAGGCCAGATGCAAGAGAAGACAACAAGAGAGTTTATCTATGATTTTGTTCAACAACAAGGTGGAATTGAAGCTGTAACCAAGCAAATTGAGAAAGAGGTAGACTCAACAGGTAAATAATAGGTCGGAAATTAATTTTTCCAAATTTAATTCCAAGGGCTTTTGCCCGGAATAACCTCGTTCCCAAGCACTATAACTTATCTATATTTCTATATCTTCAGRTAAATAATATGATACTGTTTTTTGACTGTTTATAAGTACTTAATACATGTAGTTATAGTAATAATCATTGATGATGCATGTAGACAGTTTGTTTGGGCTTTTTCTTTTTCCACTCCCCTGTCCCCCTTTGAGTTGCACCACCATTGTAGCTGTTGTGGTGACTAATAATAACAGGTTTTTCTTAATGTTAGAAATTCTDTGTTCTCCACCAAGGTCCACCACCACCACCTTCCAGAGGTGCTCCTCCACCTCCGTCAAGAGGGGCTCCACCACCTCCACCACCACCATCTAGAGGATCAATCCCTCCCCCACCGCCAAGGATGGGAGCACCACCACCACCACCTTCAAGAAGAGCAGGTCCTCCACCACCACCACCAATGGGTGGTCCCTCAGCGCCACCACCACCTCCAGTCCCAGGTGCCCCTCCTCCACCCCCACCTGTGATGGCTGGCGATAGATCTGGCCCTCCACCACCTCCTCCTGTCTCTAGTGGCAGAGGTGACCTACTGCAACAGATTCAACAGTCAAAGAGTCTGAAACCTGTATCTGATGCGGACAAACGAAAGTCTATAAGTGGTGGTGGTGATAGCCGTAGTGACTTGTTGAGTGAAATCCGAGGTGGAGCAAATCTTAAAAAGGTAAGAAGTACTCATCGTCTTTATTTTGTTAGAAATCCATCTGTGAGGCTTTACTAAGCAACTAACATCAAATGCTTGAAGTGGGACCACGATCGAATTTTTTTAAATGATTTTTTTGATAGAAGATGATTAAACTAGTYAAAGAAAGAAAAGAGAAAGAAGAAAAGAGAAAAGAAAAATTTCGATGTTAAAAATAARGAAAAAACAGTTTACATATCTAAAGTTTTAGTTTGAATCCTTTGAATTCGACTTTGGGTCTAGCTATTTGGACAAGCGTGGCATGTGCTATGTAAAGTGGCCCAATTTATTGACGATTGTGAAATCTTAACTAAAAAAAACTATTTCTGTTATYTCAACCTATTTCGGAAAGCTCGTACAACTAGTAAACAACTCATGTTGATCAATTGACATCACACGACTTTTCACGGCAGGGACACGTTTGAGTAATCCCCACATGCTTCCATTCTGTGTAGAATATTCCCTTTCTCAAGTGAAGGTCCGTGGATTTTCACGTGGTATAAATGGCGTTGCATCGTGTAACGGTCACCAAGAAGTTCGAACATCGTTCTCGGATTTCCGACGAATTTTCTGACTTTCAAACAAATTATTTACTTGGTTTGTTTAGTTAGCTCTCTGAATACAAGCAAAATATCATTTTTTWAAAACTTGATTGAAGCTTTTTCTTACTGCTGATTGGAGAGCTAACTATAAAGAAATCGATTTGAGCTTTCTTTTTAAAGTAAAGGAATTTGTAAGATTGGTGACCGCAATCACGTCACGGTTAGCGCCGAAAAGGTAAATTGCGCATTCTTTACTTTACCGCTAGTATATGTGAATAGTCTGACGCTTAAATGAGGCTAGAAATGGGTCTATAATCAAGGAACACAGCGKTATTTTACAAATTCGAAAATGGTCTATTAAAACCTGTTTAACCTGCTAGGTAACACAAGAAGATGGAAAACCCAAATCAGCAGATCCGGCTCCGGGTGGAATCCTTGGAGCTCTGCAGATGGCCTTGCAAATCAGAGACAACGCAATCCATTCTTCAGGTAATTTGTTATTCTTGTGTAGTTCGTATTAGCTATTCCAAGGTTGAGGCAAAAATTGGGTCGACTTGGTTTTTTTTAAGGGTTTTCAASATGGCTTCTATTTTGTCCCCTAAAACAGTCCYACAATGCACTGCAATGCCAAGTTGACCCRTTTTTATAATAGTTTAATTCAATAATACATTGCAGCCCACTAAATAGCTGAATTGCTTATATCATTAGAATACAATACGATGAGAACATTTACGAATGAGAACATTTCAGTTGTAATTTAATAGTATGTAAAACGAATAAAATATATTAGTAATGACAATTCTATAGTATAGTTTCAAGAATCGCCAGGGCACGGGTTCAAATCCCGTTCAAGATTTTTTTCTGAGTCTTTCAATTTGCAGCTGCATAAGTTGCTTGGCAYACTGCGAGGATCAGCTTGGCGCGAAAGATGCCGCCAAAATCCACAGGAAACCCATCMGTATAAGCCAAAGAGAGAGCAGCTTTTAGTCTCGTGCATCCTAACTAGCCTAGCTCCTTCGCAGCCGTTCTTAGGGTCGTCACGCAACGTTTAAGAACGGCTGCAAAGGAGGCTACATCCTAACCTGCTCTTTTTTCATTCCAAGTCCCCCAGCGTTCATGTTGGTCCAAGATAATATTCAACTCTTTTCGTTGCAGATGATGATTCAGATTCTGAGACAGAATTTGATAGTGATGACGATGAATGGAATGACTAAAGAATATTGGCGAATAGTTGAAAGCATGGTCACGTGACCGGTTGGTGGATCTTTTTCAGTAGCCATATTTCAGTATATATAATGAATTGCCCTCTTGAGAAGCAAAAATTCAAATATCTTTATAAATTTTATATTTAATTTTTTTTGAATCTTTAGTATATCATTATCAAAATATATCTTTACTTGAATGATGTTGAGATTACGAACTGTGTCTTCCACGTGATTTTTCGTTTTTGTAGCAACAATTTTCTTGATAACTAACCTGAATAGATAGGAAAGTATTCTCATTCGGAATATTTTATAGCTATCAGTTACATCAATATTAATGTTCTGATTGAAGCCAGTTAAAAATTTAAACGTGCCCATCAATGTGAAACATCAACAGCCCTTGGGGCTACCACAAGTGATTCTTCTAGCTCGCTGACTACACRTTACGAAGYTCAGCACTGATTAATAATGGTAATTGAACKTAGTGGAGTRCAATTTGGTCTGAAATCAAACGAATGATTACAAAATTGCACGACCACGTTGCATCTACATTTACTAAGCTTTGCGTTGCTTTTGGCCACTGAAAACATGAAGTTAACGAAGAAGGAAGCAAAATTTTTATTTGGGATATAAAGTGATGATTCAAATTGATAGATACTGTAGATGTATGCAAAACAATACAGGAAAAAAATTCAGATAGATAATCTCGGCTATTAAGATCAAACCGATAAAAATCTATTCATATTSTAACAACACTTTCTATAAAATAAACTAACCGAAAATAAGAATAATGTTAAGAATAATGTTGAGAATGAAACTTAGGAATTAGGGAAGTCCGAAAATAAAGACTCAAAATTTATTATATTTTTTCCGAAAGCTGTTTGCGATTGATATGAATAAGATAAAATCCATTGATGTACTTTCTATATAAAATCTAAAATAAGCAATTTGAAAATTCAGTTAGGAAAATGTTATTGAAGTTCTCCCAAATAGGTCTTTGATATAAATGAATCTTATTCTGAAAAAGGTGAAGCTGTTTTTGTATATGATAAATATCAATAATAATAAAGAAATAAAAAAATCATGTTTATGTTAAAACGGAGTTACATACATAAAAAAGTCTGCCAATTTTATTTATTTATTTTATTTTATTTTTTCAATTTCAACACCAATTAGGGCCCTTTAGATTTTATTTGTAACAGATACATCAATATATAAAATTTCTTTTAGAAAATGAGCCGAAATTTTTGCCGGTAGTCAAATGTCTTGCAAATCATTATAAATTGTCGACTGCCCTCTGTTGTCGCTCAAAAGCTGGACGTCAGTGAATCAAGCGATCGGGGAAATAAATCAGCAGGGAAACTACTTATTATTTTTTTCTGCTGTAGCGACTTGAAAGTTAAATATATTTTGAGGTATTTTAGTCGACCTAGGGCTTCATTTCCCTTTTGAATCGAACTGGTTTCTAGATCTAAGTTGTTTACGTATTTCATTGTTTCAAAGCATTTTGTCCCTTCCAAACCATTTGGTCTCTCTCAAAGCATTTTGTTTCTCAGTGTTTTTCAAGCAACCAAAAAGACCGAACAGCGCAAATGCTTCTGCTGTTAATTGTTTATAACACAACGGAAATACTGTAATCAGGTGTAATTTTCTTATGACCGAAGTCCATTTTACGAAAATATTGCTATAAAACAGCATGGTGCTATCAGTAAGGCTTCTATAGTAACAATGTCCATTTTAGGAAGTTATTCTTTCAAGTTGTTATAGAGYTCTTGTTATTTGGTTGTGTGCAAACGGTGATAAAGAAAAGAAAAAGTAGGTGGTATTGCCGGATGAACTAACTGATTCTTCAAGTTGGAACTGATATTTGCACAATCGTCCACTCTAGGAGTCCGTAGAATTTTATTTACTTAGCTATTTACCATTTATTTTTGCTTAAAGTCATTTATCATTTTGATATATGAAATCTTGTTGAAGTTTTCTCAACATCTGCGTTCATGGAMTGAACATGAAATATTTATCCGACGTATTTTCTCTAATAAATTATCAATCGATCTCTAATGATATTGAGCGATTTTTTTTTTTCGTTTAAAAAATAATAAAAAATTAACGCTTTAGAATTGCCAGTCATCATGATATACTGTTGCGTTGGATACAAAAACATCAGTCGTACGAACTCGTAGTTCAGTATTAACTGCATAGGTTCACTTAAATATTTTAAATTCACATTTCTCATATAGTGTAATGTAATCCCAATTTTGACGTGCTATTCCCTTTATATATTCAAACCAGTATTCTTCACTTCATGCTCCACAGCGTAACACTATTATCTACTCTTCAAACCATTCTCTCCTTCATACTCAACAGTGTAACACTACTTTCCTTGATTCCCTTACTTGGTGATAATTGTTTGTTTGATTGTTCTTTTGTTTGTTTTTTAACMTATTTCTAAGGTTAGTTTGAAACCGGTTTTTGTCTTGACTAGGAACTTATAAATATAAACTACTTTGCTATGACAGTCAAAGGAGCATTGTATTTTTACTCTCCTGCTTTGATGTCAGATTTTAAACTAAAAGTAATGAGGGAAAACGCCGAACGGTAAAGGAAGGAACCCAAGGAACTTCGCTCGATACGCATTTGTAAAATGAAATACGTTTTGAGTATTTTAAAATTARTAAAGCAAAAAAATAATTACCGTGGCTGGGAAGAGCATATTAMAATCAGTAAAACTGTGAAGTTTGAAGGAAAGAAGTTCAAAACTCGYGAAGATATGATTTTTTTATRAAGCGTGAATTTTGTAAGAAAACCTTCACTTTGCTTGGAGACAAGAGATGCCTTCAACCGATGYTTTCATACAAAATTCAATTTTTGTAAATTTATAACTTCTCGATTCTTGGACTTACTTCCTTTWAACTTCACAGTTTCACTAATTTTTAAATGCTCTTTCCAGCTATTGGAAATAATTTTTGCATGATAAAAACTTATTTCAAATGTGGCCTAAAATTTATCTAGTAGATTTACTTTTCGAATCTAGTCTACTTTAACTGTCCATCTTCTTGACGTTGGGACGAATATATTCCAGTTGATCTCCGATGATAGATTTTGAAATATTTTCATGTATTTTTATCCGTTCCWTTGTAATTGATAATGACTCTCGAAATTCAACTCATTCTTAAGCTTCCAGTTCTGAAAACGTGCTTGGATTAGTAAACATGCAATGTCCAAGCCCTTAATCTYTYTTTTTTCCTTTTTCCTTTTTCACGCTCACTCGAAAAGTCAGTCAAAAGTCTGCCACTACGTCATCCCCAAAGTCACGTGACGCGTCAAGAACACGACATCGCATTTATTTTAATAATCATTAGCTTTTTTTAGCTTTTACCACTGAGGTAGATCATAGTTAACTATGGGTAGATACATTCTGTTAGGTGGTTTAGTGGGCTTGCCGAATGCCCAAATAGACTTGAGACGTAACGGTTACCCTTGACAACAGCTGGTGGGCTGGTTATGAATATTAATGAGYCATTGATAACAGCTAACGAAGCACAGCATAATTTTGAAAACGCGCTCACTTGTGTCCGCCGAAARTATTTATTTTCGTGAAAGGGGTGTGACAGAAGCTTGTAGCGTGAGCTTCAACAAGATTCGAGCTAGTATACGTATGCAGAGATTTGAACTAAAATTGCTACRAAATGTCTTCTGTTTTGTACTTAAAGGTAAGCGATTTGGTTAGGACTTTTCTCTCTTTGCTGTTTTGACTGTAATTTAAAATAATTGTGGTAGTAGTTAGAACATGCGATAGGTTTACAATGGCCTAAGAATAATAGGTTTTTTTGACTTTGACAGGGGTCTAACCTCCCTGGACAAGGGAAAAAACGATTGGGAGAATGTATAAAAAGCCAGAGAGTGTTGATGATTGTGAAGCTCAAAAACCTGGAAGGTGTTTTTCATATTCGCTTCATCGACGAGAAGACCAAGCAAAGTGATGTGGAATTTAGGAAGCTCGATGCGACCATGACTCCTGTTTTAGTACACCAAGGTATCGAATACCAAGACGTAGATGAAATTGCTTATCATTTGGAAAARCATTTTCCTGATCCACCTTTGGAAACGCATGATGTTGAAGCCAATGCGTTGGGCGGCCAAGCCACCCCAATGTCGAGTCTCGCTGGATGGATTAAGAACAAGGACCCTAAACGAGAAGACTTTTTGAGGCAAAAATTTGAGAAGAGTATGGGCGACATCGATCACTCTTTGGGAAAGAGAGAAGGCCCATTCATTTGCGGCGAGGAGCTCAAGTTCCCAGACTGCATTCTATTGCCCAAACTGTACCATGCGAAAGTGGCTGCATTGTACATCAAAAACTATGATTTTACGAAGCCGGACCCCAGGGTTCAGACCAGTAGTGAGACGCCACCGGTGTTTAAAAATATTGGGAACTATTTGAAAGCGGCCATGGGGAATCCAGTATTCTCAGAAACCTGCCCATCTGAAAACGAAATTCAAGAAAAGTGGAGAAATTACAAGAGATAGATTGGTCAAAGACACTAGTAAATCGGAACATCCTTTGTACTAACAACGTAATGTTGACATTGCTTTTATAATCTAGCCACGCAGCCATACTGTTTTATTCAACATGATATGCAAATGTTTAGTTTGAATATTATTTCTAACCTTAACACGTAGACGAGTTTTAATATCTCTGCCCTAAGTCCTAAGATAAAGTTTTTTATCATTACATATGCCTAAATATACAATCGATAATTATTTTACCACCGACGTACTCGTTTCCACCTTATTTTTACCATTAGTATCGTTTCGAAGCTTGTGTTGTTTCGAGTTGATTCACCGAAAGTCAATAAAGCCACGCGAAGCAACACAAAAACGATTGTAARCTTCGGTAGAAAATATGTACGATGTAGTACAAGCCATGTTATTCATGCATTAAAGTAACTTCTAGCTTCTAGCTTCACAAACGTTGTTTATTGTGGTATTATTTTCTCTTAAATGTATTCATTATTCCAGAGTTTTGCTGCTGAAGTCATGGAAGAAAGCAGAGAGTCGAACAAGTGCATGTTTTCTACCTCATAAAACTATTGTTCCATATTATTGTTCGCTTTGTGTTTTATTATTATAAAGATTAGCAGAGACACGTAATTTTCACTATTAGTTTTTGAGTTTTTTTCACATTTCTTTTTATTTTATTCTGTTAGCAAGGGTACAGATATGAGGATAAACTTGACATTTATWCAACTAAATTGTTTTCTCATTCTGCATGTTCCCGTAAAAATACACAAGCTCGTTTGAATTCATTCAAATTTCTCAAGCGTGTCATGTTCCAGTTGATCTAATCTCAGACGTCATTGCTATTCTAAAATCTTTGACTAGTAATTTTAGAACATTCTCTCGTCGCTCACTCCCTCCATTTTCTGGCTGCATACTGAACCATTGCCAATTGATTGTGATTTTTTGTGTGTGTTTTGTCCGTGCTTTTTCGCCATTGGTGCTTTATCATGACTATTTAATTAACGCTAGCTAATAGGTGCTCGGGTGCAAAGGTGCTTTTACGATATGGGTCTTGAGCATATTGAGAGTAAACGACTAACGCGAGCAAAATAGTTTTAGAGCTGGCATCAAATTACATTATATCGCYGACCAAAGAAGTAGAAGGTCACCTGTTTTTGTGTGTGAATGTTTATGGGAAKTTGTAAATTTAGGATTGATAATATTCTACTTTGATTTTACTACTAATTCGATTTTAAAAGATCTTCAATAACCAAAGGCCTATAATGGATAAGTAAATCTAAATATGCCATGAATCTTGTATATCAAATGCAATATTAACACCAACCAATATTCGCCTCCTATCATTATCCAAATAGTACTGTTTCCAGGATTTTAAAACKTAATGCCACTGCTTTAAGCAAACCTTTGAGATGGAAACAATTCATGCATTTGATCTTGAGATTATAAATGCCATCATTCTAATGTCATGTCATTTATTATTTGTGAATTCTACTTGACAAAAAACCTTTCTACTCTAACTTATCTGTCATCTATCATGCCACAGACACTTTTCTGTTTGACTTGCTCTGTTTTTATCACACTCATGAATTTAAATAATGAAAAAACTATATAAGATTCATGTTATTCTGTTTTGTTTACTTTCGAACTGCATATCTATAACCMATCCAGCGTCTTATTTTACGGATATATGATTTCGATTATTCTCAGCTTTAATTTTAGGCATTTTCTTAAAAAAAACACTCAAAAATCTTAAGCTTTTCTCGGAAATTAAATGAGTGTTCTTTTGAAGATTACTAGTTTATGCTAAAGTAAAAACAATTAAAATAATAAAATCTTCACTACACTTAATAGTAACAAATTTCACCTTGAGATAATGGAAATCTTAATTTGATTTTAACATATTTTAAATATTTTATTTGAAATTCCTTTTGCCTCGAAAAAAAAAAAATCTCGTAAAAATACATGATCAGTATGCTTCGCCGGAGTATTCATATCTATCAGAGGACCCAGGGGTAAAATTCAGAAGACAGAAATTTTTTAGCTCTTTTAATGATTCATTTTAGACGTGATTATTTTGAGTTGACAATGAAATTTTGACAAGTGTACGATGAGACATGTCGATAGTATGTCCAAGAAATTTCCTGCATTGATTCGTGTTTCCAGATCTTTTTCACGGACAGAGGAAGCAATTAACTTCTGTTTTTATATTGAAATACTGTTTAAAATTTTGCTAGTTTTTTTGTTTTTTTGTTTTTTTTTTGTTTTTGTTTTTGTTTTTTTTTTTTTTGTTTTGCTGTATTATTGTATCCGATCGTCGATTGAGTGTTATCAGGTATTTCACTGCTGATTTGGAACCGTTGATTGTTTCTCAAAATAAGCTGCATTTGTAGTACAAATAAAGATCTTATATTGGTGTTTTTAAGATGCTAACTAGAATTCCGCGATTCCAACAACACCGAATTTCATCCAATCGATAAGAACGTCGTCAATAGTGATTATGACAACTTATCGTACCCCGGCGTTCAAATTTTAGAAGTACTAAGTGCTTTTTTTTTTTACTTTTTATATACGTTTTCAGTGCAAAATTATATCAAAACAAAAATAAATCATAGCTGATAGAATCTTTTTAATTTAGATTATCTGGAACTCGTGTGTTACCTCAAAGCCCTGCGAAGCCAAAACAATATTAATATTGCAGAACATTTAAAGGGGAAAAATCTTTCACAAATACCTTTTTTACATGCAATCATCATACTTCTCCAAGGAAGCTTTTTAAGTGAACTCCCTAGATGAGCTCGAATGAGAGCTCTTGGAGTAAACTTAAAGAATTCATATGTTTAAATAATTAAAAAAAAAAAGAAAAAAAGGAAGCTTTCCTACGTGGTTTGGCTTTTTTACATCTCGCGCGCAAAAACAATTTCACTTTGCTATACAAGTGATTATATTTCGTTTTTTTTTTTTGGAAACGGCCTTTACTTACATCGAATTATTTTTATTTTATTTTTTATTAATTTTACTTATAGCCAACTCTTAGGTTATCAATAGCTAGTGGGTTAAAGAAAAGAGACCATAAAACGTATCGCTGAATAATAAGAGATCAAATAAGAGAGGCTAGGAATCTACTACAGGTTTTCCCAATTGCAATAGATCCTATCAACTAAACGGCATGAATAAATGATTTAAACGATTTGAAATTCCCACGTATTGGATCCACAAAGTACTTCAAGTCTCAGATATCTATTGAATATCAATTCCAGAATGTTATTCTATCTAAAAGTCTAGAAAAATGGTTACGCGACAAAATATACGTGGCCGGGGAAAAAAACGTCGAGCCTCTGGGACCAGGGTACCTGCCTGCATGTTCAACGCAAAATAGATTATAGCTGATACGAGACAATTTGCAACGAAGATTTTTTTGCAATTCGCCATTGCKCAAAAAGATGATGCCGTATAAAGCCGGGTCTCTTGCACCGTCAGGTGACGGCAGCCATGTTATATGACAGGAACAATACAATCGTTTTACCAAACGAGTTTTATTGTTCTGCCATCTAACAACAGGCAACCTAAGCTGTATTATGGGCGCCAGCACGTGATGGTGCAAAACCTCTATACATCAGTGCCACGTACAACGATTTTCGGATTCGGCAACACGATTTTTCGCGCAACGCATATCCAAAACGCAGTTGTTCAATACTCTTATAGAATCGAGGCGATATCAACGAACAACATGACGGCTTTGACAGAGGACGACGAGCTCTTGCGCGAGGACTGAGGACGAAGTTGTTACTTATAAAAAACGCTAAACATCTTCCTCTGTAACATGTTGATTTTCGAACGAACGTTGCGCGAAAATTGATTTGCTTATTGCTTTTATTATTTACCATTATTGTCCAATGGGAAACTAAGTTAAGTGTTACTAGTGGTCAGGACATCCACATGGTAGAGTGTTTTTGATGCTAATCTCATCGTGATAACATTGGAAAACGAGGTTTTCACTAAAGATGGCAGTTTATCTGTTGAAACCTATTTCGTCTTAAATATGTTCAAGCTCAAAACTGTCGTTTATTTATTGAAAAAATAAGTTTTTACTTCATTTGCTACCCAATAAAAAAATTGTTTTTAATTGAATAAATTATATTCAATATTCTACATTCTGGTTTTTGCTTGGGCATATGAATGTTATCGCATTTCAGAAAAAAATGTCATTCTCTTGAAAATAAGATTTTTTGTTTGAGTTGTATCCATATTTAGGTACATTTTCTGCTCATGCGCAACCATTAAACGATGAATTGATACTCTAGAGCCCTGAAATGACACGTGGTCTAAAATGGGCAAAACATTACGCCCAAGCTAAAGAAGTCTACTCTTGGGGTGTATGTGACGTCATAGCCGCCATTGGAGTTGACTTTGACAAAACATTTGGTCTTGGTGTCTTGTCATGTCAACCAACATGGCGGCTACGTCTTTTGTCCTTTTATTTTCATGGGAAGGGATGCACTTCACCAACTGGAAAATTATATTCATTCTACTGTGAGAGGTAAGTGAAGAGGCTAGCGAGAGAGCAACAAAGAACTGTCATAGGTTGAGGTTAAGATGAACTCATCATCGCATTAAACGCACATCAACCGTGATTTCCTTTCTGTTTTACTTTTTTCCCATTTAATTATTTATTTAGCTTTTACATTGCATCAAATTAAGGATTAAACAAAATCTAGAAAAATCGAAAAATACCTGTAAAAGGAGAAAACAACCGAGAACTCTAATAGGTGCACGTCCAGGAAACGACAAACCCGTTACCACCGCAGTGAGAGGTGGCGCTTTTAGCGCACATCGACCGTGATTTCCTTTTCTTGTTTAGCTTTTGTCCCATTAAATTATTTATTTAGCTTTTACCTCACATTGAATAAAAGATAATTAAAGTGCCTATCACCCAATATTCAAAGTATTGATTCTACATGGGGTAAGATGTGGAAAAGCCCGAAAAAATTTCATAGTTTGATTGCGGCTTCTTGAAGTTATAAAGGTTTTTCCATGCCATATCATGCTAATGTTGTGACGTATGAGGAGTAATCATTTAATATACAAAACCTTACTGGCACAGATAAATTAAATTTGGAATGCGTCATTGTTTTGCCCATTGCTCTTATAGAAATTATTGCAAGCTATTTTTCACATAGAAGCCGGTGTTTCGAATTACAAGGAACAACAAATAACCATAAATGCCTCCTCATACGTCACAGCATTAGCATATGGCATGGAAAAACCTTCATAACTTCAAGAAGCTGCACTCAAACTATGAATTTTTTTCAGGTTATCCGACATCTTACCTCATGCAGAATCAACACTGTAAATATTGTCAGAAGGGTGATAGGCACTTTAAAGATAAAAAACATAAAACTAGGGAAGTCGAAATTAAAGAACAGAAGAGAACAACAGAGAGCTTTGATAG